GGCGAAAAGCAGCGCGTAGCGATAGCTCGGGCAATGCTCAAAAATGCACCGATCATAGGTATCAAGCTTTTTCGAGGACTTCTTTACTTGTTTTTCTCGAAAAATCAACCAGAACTTCATGACCTTGGATACATATTCCGCAGCTTCTAAATGTAGTAAATTTACTGATTACAGGTATTTTTTGTTAGTTTTCTGGCTAAATATTTTTTCTTTTTCATTCCTATTAATTGTGTTAATGGTTTACAGTATACGATGAGGCCACTTCATCGCTGGATGCTTTGACTGAGGAGAACATAATGAGCTCGATGAGAAATGCGGTACAGCAGCGTACCTCGCTATTCATTGCACATCGCTTGGCAACTATTGTGGATGCCGATATTATTTATGTGCTTGAAGGCGGCAAAGTAATAATTTTTATGCGCTCTCAGATCCCCGAGTTATGAACTTACCCGAAATAACTTTGGCGGGCCCGCGTACGGCCCCCCTCCTCCCCTCCTCCCTCAAAGTTTTTTCCGGGTAAGTCCATAACTAGGGGGTCTAAGAAGCTAGAAAGCTGAAAACTTAGGTAGATGTTCCCCGTCCAAGTGGGTATTAGTGAGCTCAAACCCAGCCGCCGGGTAAGCGTGGTACACGCGTACGAGGCCGCCAAAATTTTTTTCGAGTAAGTTCATAACTCGAGGATCTAAGAAGCTGGAAAGCTGAAATCTTAGGGTGATGCTCCCCGTCCAAGCAGATGTTGATGCACAGAAAGCCATCCCCCGGATAAGCATGTAATCGCGTACGGGCCCGCCGAAATTTTTTCCGGATAAGTTCACAACTCGGAGATCTGTGAAGCTTGAACGCTGAAATCTTAGGGTAATGTTCCCCGTCCAAGTTATTTGTAAATACTGCTAAGACTAATAAGCGTCAATTTTCAACAGTCACAAACTGTGCCCGGTTAAGATTTTCGAACATCACGCTATACGGTTTACAACATTGCTGTAGACAGAAATGCAGTGTACAGAGAAAAAAGTCTTCCTTCCATTTGCTGACACTGGTAACAGTTAGTTGTGGGATGCAATAGGAGCTGAAAAGTTAAGTGGCG